TATTGGTCAATACAATTTTTAATTATATAAATAATTTTGTCTTCATTATGGAATTTAAAATTGTTAATGAGGGCACATTGAAGAAATTTTTTTAAAAAAAAATGTATGTATATGTTACCGTTTTACCCCTTTTAAAATTAGTGAAAACAAGTTAAGTGGTCATAATGAAGCGTTATATGAAATTGGGTTGCTATGGTGAAACGTTACATGTAATTGGGTGGTTATTGTGAAATAAAATCAAATTGAGTGGTTATGGTGATACTAAATATAAAATTTGATGATTATGGTGAAACAAAATCAAATTAAGTGATCATAATGATACTAAATAAAAAGTTGGATGGCCATCGGTGAGTTTAACCCAATGAATAAAAGCAACGCTTTAAATTTGTATGGCTATTTTCTTTTTACCTCAAGGAGATGACCATCAAAATTAGAAGATAGACTTGAAGGTCTTGAACGTTATTGGATCAAAATAAGAAGAAATGGATGACTACATAATTTGCACCTTTACTAAAGCAAACCTATCAGCAAAAGAAATATTCTCAGGTACATAAATAATTAAGTGTTAAACTATTTGTACAGCAATTTTGTACAACTGATTTGACAATTCATGATGTGTAAATATCATGATCTTTTATTCAAAAGTTTTGCCATATGTATATAAAAATTTATATAAGAGATTACATAATATCACGTGACACTGTATCATTTGTCAATTAAAATACAGTCAATCTTCTCATTTATTCTTTTTCCTCCATATCATTTTATATAATCTTTTATGTATCATTTTCACGTACAAATAGCATAATCATTTATTCAAATCAATAGTCCAATTGCCTATCAATTCGTTGATTGTTAAGCTAATTGTTAAATTAGTTGTACATGCGGCAAAACTCAATAATTAATCATTTTCATTCCGTCCTAAAAGCTAGTCATTGTAATTAAGGTGCATCCCATGAACTTAGACTGCATTTCCTTTTTCATTGGACAACGTGACGATAGTTGTATCACACGAGGAAGAGACGATATTAAATCTGAATTTAGTAGAGATTAAAATTAGATTATTAATATATTTTAATAAAAATTGATAGAAATGTTTTTTTAATAAAAATTGTCAATAACATAAAATATGTAATTAAAATTAACATTTTTGTCTCTTCGAGAATAGAACTATTCTCAACATGACTTCAATTTTTTTCATAAAATCCCATCTTTGATCCATTTTCACCCATACTTTGGCTATGTTTCAATAAAACAAGAAGCAAAAACCTAGCATATCATCTTAAACCAAGATCCAAAAACCAGTAGAAACAGAAAATATTAATTGCCATAATTGAAATGTCTACTTCTGATACACCATCATTAGACCCTTTACAGCAACAGCAACCACCGCCAATGGTGGTGGCTGCCCAACAGGCCTCCACAGCTCATTCGGGTCATGGGTCNCCCTGTTTGATTTGGCTTTTTTTTTTTTCATGGAAGATGGAATTTTAATTTCATTTCCACATTTTTACATGTTTGATTGATTAAATTTTCAATAAAATTGGTTTTCTATATTTTCTTGATTTTTGAGGAAAAGCTTTTTCCATGGATTTGGTGGAAAAAACTTTTCTAGACAACTTTTATTATTTATTTATTTTGGCAATGAAAATAAATTATATCCCTAATTGTAACAAATTATATCCCTTTAATGAACAATTTTCTTGAAAAACAAAGCCAAATGAACACCAAAAGATCCAAAATTTCAATATTTTTCATGTGAAAAATTATGCCAATCAAACACAATTAATTGACAATTCCCAATAAAATAAATTCTAGGCAATTCAATTTCGTGAAATTCATTTTCTTTCCATCAATTTCGTTATTGCAATCAAACGGTCTCTTAGCCCCTGTTTGATCTACATTATTTTTTCATTCTCATTCTTCTACTCATTTTTAACCACACATTCTTCAATTAAATAATATTTTACATCACATCAATAACTTTTCCTTCTTTTTCAACCACATATTTTCCATCAAATCACTTCAAAAAAAATGCATTCTCTCATTTTAATGTACACCAAACGGGCTCTTAATATTGAACTAGGAATAGAACATTTGGGGACGAGACAACATAATAGAAAATCCTACTTTCGGAAGAAAGTGGTCTTCATTCTACTCGAAATCTACCCATCTAGTACTAAACTACAGATAGCTCTTTCCTCCGATCGGAAGACTTTGGAACAACGTATCACAAAGAATAAGTATAAAGCACAAGGATTCAATGAAAAGTGACAAAAAGAAAAATTAACTCGAAATTTACTGAGTATTCAAGTAAGAATAAAAAAAGGGCTGTGATTCAACTCGAAATTTACCCGGTGCTAAACTACAAATAGCCCTTCCCTCGAATTGGAAGATTTTGGAACAAATATTACGAAGAATAAGGTAGAAAGCACAAAGATTCAATGAAAAAGTGACAAAAACAAATAGAAAAGCTGGTGGGATGCATTTGATTCTAACTTCACTTTTGTACGATCCATGGAAATCTCAGTTCTTTCTCTCTCAAGTTATTTCAACTGCGTG